AATTTTCCTTGACAGAACCACGTTTTTCAGATAACACCAGGGGGCATTGCAGATGCAAAGGATTGACGTCTCATGTGGTGCTGGAAAATTAAAGGAAACACAGGTTGAAATGTTTTAAACTTTTCATCTAGTTACTGGATACATATTTTTATCTTGAAGTGACAGTATGTAGGAACCTATGTACATTGTATCTTCTAGCATCCATAACGTCTTTAGCTACCCCATGTGCAATCCATTTGGAAAAATAATGAAAAAGCGTTTTCTCTAGTAAACATTAAATTGCAACTCTATTCAGATACAGCCAAATATGCAATTTTGGCAAGGAGAAACTTTTTGGCATAAATCCAAGACCAGCGAAAATCTGTTTGGATCAATGCCCTTCAGCCATTATGAACACGTATAGAGCCAATTGTTAGAGAAGGGCAACCCCAAAAGCATTTAGAAACAGACTATTATTCCACGTATCTAGAATGTAACTCAAATAAGCCACAGCAAGTTTCATATGATATTAAGTTGTAACTGCATAAACATGCCCATAACGGGAAGGGAAGTATAAACCCTAAGTACCCATTTACAAGGCACAGTTAAAAGAGTAATGAAATATGGAAATATGGAAAGAAGCTGGAGGAAGGCCAAGGCAAAGTAAACAAAGCCTTTGCCGAATAGTGCACTCAATAGTTTGAAGACCAGTTTGCAGCACTCCCAACTCTTGGCATGCCTGAACTTTCCTTTCGAGCCTCTTCATCCACCTTGAAATTGGCTCCACAGACATGACCTGAACTGTCCACCCTTGGCACTGGCTTCAGCTCATTCAGTGGATGCTCAAAACTCCTCAACCCACCGGATGTTGTGAAGAAGCAACCTAACATAGTGCAGAAAAATCAATGAATAATAAACAAAAGAACCATCTGAGAATATGATATGATACCAGAAGAGATGCCCACAATTCCCCTAAATAATTACCTTTGGGGAAAGAAGCAAATGACTTTCCACAACCCTTCTTCATAATTTCTACATCATCCGAGAGAACAAGCTGTCCCTCAGAATCAGTTCCCCAGTGGAGAGGAACACTCCCATCAGCATCCTAAGAATTAAAAAGACACAAAATAGGTTAAAAACACAAGAAATCTGCAGCAATCAATGGTTAAACTAAGGGATCAGGGCAACAACTTACAGAAGCAAAAAATGCAGCTTTTGAGGAACTGTCAAATAGAACAAACACAAATTTCCCTTGAATATCTCTCACCACCTGATCAGCTGGATATGGACCCCGATCCCTTAACGTTCGATACGCTTCGATAACAATGATAACCTCATTCGCAGCTTTGTTCAATCCATATTGTTGCTTCAACTGAGCAACATTCTCAATGTGCCCTTGGAACAAGCAGAAAATGTCGTCCACAACCGCGAATAATCTATGGTTATAAACACAAAATTTCATCAATTTCCCAACAGCAGCCAAATCTAACAAATGCTCTTACAAGAACGAAGAATCAAGAAGCCAAACAAACCCCAACGATTCGACACAAATCCCATAAAAGTTATTGATGATTGATGAAGTGTAAAAGAATCTTGCCAAACCAAGAATCCCATAAGTTTAAAATTATATAAACTAAACATTGATCTGGAAAGATTTGACCCTCCAAAATTTTGATCGAGTCAAAATGGAAAATCTGAAGCAAAACAAAAAATGGCCAATAGTTGCCTCAAAGAACACAAATTAACGACATAATATCATATAAGTAAACCCCTGATTGCAGATAAAACCAAGAATGGGGGGGGGGGGGGGGGGG